GATGTATGGATAGACAGATTTTAGACAAACATTTTTTCCATTTCACTATTTAAAGGCTTCCCCAAAATTCTCATAGAAGGCCTGTCATATGATTAAACAAAGTAATTTTTAAGTTAAACTACATGAACAATATTAGTTTTATCTTTTACTCTACAGTGAGGAAACTATCCACTGTCATGCACATAATCAGTTTGCAGTATCCCAGAAGAATTAATCAAATATAATTACACAGGAAATAACCTCACTTAAACATTCTTTTAGTATTAAATAGGAATTTTCCAACAATAATAAAGAAAAATCTTTTTTCTTATGTTACAATGGAACTATGGAATTAAATGTGTTGCTGGGAACAATTCTGAGATGGCTGCTGATGCAACTGTAGGTAGGCCAGGCAACCACAGAGAATTAAATACCCATGCTTTATGGATCTTACAGATACAATATCCAAAAAGACCTAGAAATACAATGCTGTTTTACATATTAGTGAGAAATGCATAAAAGATATTCTGGTATATAGTTCATTGTGAATTAATGTATAGATGGGATAAGAGAACAAGTTCAAATGCTTAATAATAAAAAAGTATAAATTGAGAGCTATTTTTAAGGCTGGATATTTTATCATTTTAAAATTTATTTACTCCTTTAGACAATACATTTTGAGTGTCTAATATATGTGACACAATCTCCTGGCAAATGGCATTCCTACAGTTTGCAATCTACTCTTATGAAGACTATTATTATTCATCATACAAAAAAAGGCAATTTACATGCATTTACTTAGATAGATATAGGGGAATGAGACTTAACTTTCATTTGGATATTTCCTACTTAATTTATTTCCTGACATCCTTTGTCAAGATGGAGATACATAAGATTCTTTTTAAACTTGGAATGAGAACTCATAAACCTAGATGTGACTAGTTTCTTAGTAAATCTCTTGTGATTACTATGGTTTCAAACATCAAAAATAAATATTTTATCACTCTAAAAAAGTAGACAAAGCAATGAAAATCAGCTAATATAGTTTAGTTTTTTTAACGTGAATACTTAGAACACAAAGATGAAGTAAAAACAAGAGAGAGCTGAAGACTTTTTTAAAAAATGCATTTTAGTTATAAATCATCTGAAAGGAGGAGCTATGACAAAATAGAGTGTTTCAGAAAGAAATGAAAATCCCCAAGGCAACCAGCAAAGGAAGAAGAGAGTTTCTCTTAAAGTATAAATGGGTCTTTGTTGAATTTTAACAAGCCCTCAAAGGACAGATTCCTGGAGATGTCTGAAGTTCTTCATTTAATGTGAAAATACTTTACACTTTCCCTTAAACAAAGAAATCACCCCACTGGCTAAGAGCCAGAGCTTGCACATATTTTGAGACACCACAGGAAAAGAGAGAAGAAGAAAGAAGCCAAGCACTTCCATATTCACCCTGAGGGAAGAATGTGCCCCACTTCCCAGAGTTCTAATCAGTGGCACTTCTGAACCCTGATTAATGAGTCCTTCCATGCTCCTGGCTTTGCTGCCCTAACTCTACTCTACAGTTTCAGTTTTCACCCCAAATCTGGAAATGCCTCCTAAGTGAAGAAATCCCTGAAATGATGTGAAGGGAATAAAAGGGAAATGCAGATATTAGTGCTACTTGACCAGCAGGAAATTTGAATTATATCAACTGAGATGGCCAGAAGAGCTGTTGAAATATAACATAAACTTGAAGGGGGTTATTGTGTCTTTTTTTTTTTTTTTTTTTTTTTTGGTGGGAGGCAGAAGTTGAGTTAAAAGCTTGTGAGTCAATATGGTACTTCTTCATTGTGTCCTGCCCTGAACTGGGACATCTCTGAGTCACAGCTCAGTGAGGCATTTTACTTAACCTCTTAAAAAGGACTTTCTGTGTTATTTGGGGTAACTGGGATGGCTTTCTCTATTATTTTGGATGCTAAGTTGGGATAGCTTCTATGTGGGTTATGATTTATTAAGTTTATGAATATAATAGTCATGGCCATATATAATAATAGTGATAATAATACCTACATTTTCATAATATCCCCTAGACACTATTGGGGGTTTATAAACATTAACTAAATATTTACAGCAAGGGTTCATGGCACAGACACAGAAGTCCAGGGAATATGTGTGATTCATCCAAGGTTCTACAGCTAATAGATGTTGCTCTCATATACTAAACCACATGCCTATCCTTTCTAATGGAAACTTTGATATGAGCACTAACATTCATAAGAAGTAGAAAAGGAATAAGCTTCTAAGACTGTAATACAGGACAGTGTATTAAGAGTTACAACTGAGTTTGAATCCTGACTTCTGCCTGTTTTTTTTTTTTTTTTAAGATTTTTTATTTTTTTTTTATTTACACAGTAGCTGGGGGACAGGCCAAAGGCAAGGGTGAGAACATTCACCAGAGACAGAGCCGGGAGCAGAACAGGCAGACAGACCAAAAGTACTGCTGAGGGGAGCACAGGCGAGGCAGGAGAGGTCTGCAATGCCATGTGGGAATCTCCCTGGCCGGCCAGGAATTGAACCCATGCTGCAGAGGCTGCGGACAGCTTCACAGCGCTGTGCTCAACCCACTGTGCCACTGGGAAGGCCCACTTCTGCCTGTTTTTAAGCTATGTGACCTCAATAAGTAACAGAGTTGAGATGCAATTTTCTCAATGGGGGGTAATAATAGTAGATTACTATGAAAATTAAATTATATGATACATATTTGTTAGCATATAACTGGGAAATAAATTTATAGTAATTGGTAGCAATTAATTTAATGTTTTTCTGTACATATCCTAAAATAATCTAATAGTGAATATCCATCCAATGAAATCTAAAATTCCATTTCTTTTATTCCCAGACTACATATTAGAAGATCTTTTAAATAAATTACCAGGGATTTTAAAATGGCAAAAAATAAATGCTAAAACTCATTTTAACATACCTAAACTTCTGACAACAAGAAGCAAATAATTAAACTTAGAAGAAAACGAGAAGCCGCTATGTAAAACAAATTGAACAAGTAATGCTGCCTTCCTAGTTTGCACCCCAAATTTCCCTTCAGTCTTAGATTTCTTCTGGGCTATTTGGTTTATAGCCACAATGTCCCTAGAGCAGTACTTGCTTGTAGCTCAGCACTGTGGCTTCAAGTACTGAAGAGGTTTTGTGACCAGATCACTCTAAGGCACACTGTTTCAAGCTGCCTAAGACTTTGTGGTTAAGAAGAATGGTAGAAGGCTTCTATAATTTAAGATGAGGGTTTGTTTTTTTTCTTTCCCACTGGAGTGATTCAACATGCATTATGTGTGCACATGTGTTCCAGTACAGATGGAGACTCAAATGACTATCAGACCCTTTGGTGTGAGTTCAAATTTCCTGAAGGTGTTGGAATGTCTGTAAAACATCAGATGCCCTTCTGCTTGGGCTGTGTTTTTTTTTTTTTTTTAATAAATATATTTTTAATTCTTTGCTGATTTTACATCTCGTTTTCTTAGGAGAAAAGACTTGACAGTGTCTTTTAAAAATTGCTCATAGAAAAGTTTTTGAGTTTCTAGCATGTTACTGATTCTCACATTGAGAAATTATATCTGATTTGAATATAGCCAAAGACCAGTCATTGTGTTTGTATGTGTTCCCTCTCCCGAAAAAATCTAAAATCTTTATTCTTGTTCCAATACTATTAGTCATATTCTACAGAATTATTGGTGAGTTGCTGTCATTGCTTTAACAATACATTTTTCTACTTAAGCCTTAGAACGTGTTTTTCAGGAAGGTTTGGGCAATATTATCAATGTAAGTGCTGGGTTTTATCTCTAAGTTTTTTGATAATTACAAAGTAGCTTCCTCTGAACTTTTTATTTTATGGTAATCCCTTTTGTCAGAGAGAGATAAGAAAACTTCCCCTCACCCAAGTTGTTCTTTAAGTAGTTGGATTCTACTAATAATGGCTTCTACCATCTGTCTTTGTTTTTATTTAATGCCTGAAAATCATATTATTAAGAAAATGTCAGTCCTCCCTGGTGGCACAAGGGGTTAAGCAGCGCACTATGAGGCAATCCACGGCCTCTGCAGCATGAGCCTGATCCCCGCTGGCCAGGGAGCAACCCACATTGCACAGCAGACCTCTCCTGACTAGCCCACTGCTCCCCTCAGCAGTGTACTTTGGTCAGTCTGCCTGTTCTGTTCCCCACTCTGTCTCTGGTGAATCCTCTCACTCCCCACATCGCTGGCCTGTACCCCAGCTCTTATATGCATAAATAATCTTTAAAAAAAAAAAGAAAATGTCATGTGAAGGAGATAGATTTGGGGATTCATTTGACACCCTATATTTTCTTTCTCAGTTAAAAAAAGTATTATTTAAATCATCAGCAGCAATTAATCTTGTAAGTAGGCTGAATATGTAGTTGCTTAAACAAACTTGCATATAAACAAAGGTGCACATAAGGGTTCTATTTGCCTCCAATTAATCCCTAACATGGGTTCTCTTCTCTTTTTCCTGTGGCCAAAATTCACCATGGCACAGTTACTCCTGTGAATTCAATACCAAAGATGAAAGCAAAGCACCCAGAATCCCATTGTGACCAACCATGACTATCAGTCAGGATAGATGAATTTAAGCTATGGTGGCAAACAATCTCCAAGTCTTAGAGACTTAAAACAATATATTTTTTTTTTTGTCTGCTTACATGACATGTTTATCACCCAAGTAGGGGCCTCTATCATTCTTTCAGGGGGCTTTTCTCATCATCATGCCTAATGAAAAAGGGACTCCAAAACGGACCTTGTAGCTGCAGTAAGTACTCAGACCAGCCAAGTGAGTGACACTTACCACTTCTACTCACAACACATTAACCAGTGTGTTACATGGTTACATAGATACATGGTCCCCCAAAGCATCCCTTCAGTGCCTGAAGTGATGGGAACATGAAAACATCTGGTAAGAGCACCACTAATGTCTACCAGGAATTACCTCAAAGGACAAGTTCTGAATTGGAAATAACCCTTACCTTCTTTTTCCAGAAATTCTGAAGAATAACCACTGGGTGGACAGATGGGAAGAGTCATTGGTTGAGAGGCTTCATGGGACACAAGTCAGAAGGAGAAGATCCTGTTTGGAAGAAAATATCTGATGACAGAAACTAAAAATGAGAGGGAGATCAATTTACTATGCAATTTTGCTGATACCAGTTTTTCTTATACCAACATTGCTGTAGTTAGTTTCAGGGATTTTTAGAAAAAATATAAATACATACTTTAAAAATCACATGAAGTAATCAGAATTGTTGAGATGATCATCTAAAATGTTAAATACTGCATTTGTAGGATACTACAAGTAACAAAGCAGGTCATTTGCTTGATATTGAAAGAAAATGACTGAAATTTGAAACATGCGTACACTAAAGCTTAGGTGTATAAATTTCCAAGCGTTCTTTGGTAAGCATATTCTCAAGAATCACTAATATGAATAACCACTTACCAACAAATAAATAATTTTTAAGTACTATTAGTGGTAGCCACATTTTAGTTTCATTCTCAGATGCCATCATTTTCAAAATTAATTGCATTTTTATTTATAGACACTCTGGCTAACATGAATCTACCCACCAATGTTAGCTTACACAAATGGTTTTTGTATCTTAATTATTGAGACAATATTAGTTTACAACACTGTATACGAGTAAGGAGTATAAGTTCATACTTCTTTAGATGTATGTCACCATACCATTCAAATGTTTAATTGTGGCTCAATACTTAACTTTTTTTTAAAGATTTATTTATTTATACAAGCACTGGGTATAGTCAGAAGCGTGGGAGGGTGAGATAATTCACCAGAGCCAGAGTGGGGAACAGAACAGGCAGACTGATGGAATACACTGCTGAGGGGAGCAGCGGGCAAGGCAGGAGAGGTCTGTGGTGCCATGTGGGACCCTCACTTGTGGCCAGGGATTGAACCAGCACTATAGAGGCTGCGGGCAGCTTTGCAGCCCAGTGCTCACCCGCTGCATCACCAGGGGAGGCCCTCAATACTCAACTTCTTTTTGTTGCTGAATAGTATTAAATTGTACTCATGCAAGTGTTTATCAGTTCATCTGATGATAAACATTTGAGTCCTTTCTAGTTTGGGGTATTACAAATAAAAGTGCTTTGAACTTAGAGGTATAAGTTTTTGTATGGACATATGTTTTCATTTCTCTTAGGCATAGACTTTGGAGTGGAATGACTGTGCATGGAAAAGTGTACTTTTAACTTTTTAAGAAATTGGCAAACTGCCAAAATGATTGTACAGTTTTCCAATCTTCTGTATGAGTTTTCACTGTACCATATTTTCACAAACACTTGGTATGCCAGTCTTTTCAATATAAGCCATTTTAATCAGTACATCATAGTATTTCTTTGTTACTTTAATTGACTATCTTTAATATTGAACAAGTTTTCACATATGAAATATTCTGTGAGGCGTCTGTTCAAGTTTTTTATTATTCTTCAATCGGGTTATCTTTTTAAATAATTGAGTATAAGGAACTCTATATACACTCAATACAAATATTTTATCTGATACAGGTGAATAGTTTCTACTAGGCACTATCCACTTGGTTTCATTTTCTTAACTGTTTTTGAAAGAGGCAAAAGACTTTAAAAATACAAGCAACTGAAATCTTAAGTTACATATTAGCTTTTCAAAAGAAAAGCACTATCCTCAAAGTTATATCACATTTGCTGTGGCTCTAAGATATCAGGCATCATTAAGATATGAACAGTTCAAAACTAAAGATAGCCATAATAATCACCACACAACAAAATCCATTTCCTGGTGCCAAGACTGCCAAGCAATGTGGTTGGCTACTTAGGAAGTAACTGAGACAGAAGTTTTCCCCACTTCAAACTAATATAACTTTTATTTCTGCCAAAGCCATCATTGGCAGTGTTTCATGATTCACTACATTAGGGTAGTATTTCATCATTAAACTGACAGCTTAAACAGTGAATAAAAAATACATATTTGTATTTGGCTCATTTAAATACTATGACTCTAAGATAGGAAAGTAGAACCATGAAGTAGAGCCATGAAGGTGGTGATCTCAAAATGCTGGGTCAAGTCTCTTTGCATTAATCTCATTTTTTAAGGAATTGATTGTGCCAATGATATAGCATTGCAACAAATAACTAAGAAAGGTCATTAATTATTATTTTCCTTAGTGACTGCCTAATATACTTGTTAAGTATTGAAGCAAATAGATGTTTACAATGAGAAAGTCATATTCATTTTTATTTATTTATTTATTTTTAAGATTTATTTTTATTTATGCAAGAGCTGGGGTATAGGCCAGAGTTGCAGCATGGTGAGAGGATTCACCAGAGACAGAGTGGGGTGCAGAACAGGCAGACGGACCCAAAGCACTGCTGAGGGGAGCAGTGGGCAAGACAGGAGACATCTGCCCCACCATGTGGGATTCTCCCTGGCCGGCCAGGAATCTAACCAGCATGGTGGAGGCTGCGGACAGCTTCACAGCGCTGCGCTCAACCCACTGCACCCCGGGCAGGCTGCATATTCATTTTTAAAGTAAAATATAGCTTCTGTAAAATATTCTTATGGTAGATTATTTCAATTTTAACTTCATGGTAAGGTCCTTTATATTCACTGACATTTGTCATGTGATTCTGAAATAAAAACACCTATAACTGACCTTCAAGTCATAGGAGTTTTGGATGTTCAATTTTGAAAGGCAGTTAAAAAATTTCATACGCATAAGGTAAGCTCTGGCTTCAGTCAGTTACAATTTTCAATCTAATAGGCAGAGATTAAAAAATATAACTATTCAAACCAAAAGAAGGTTTGAATTTAGATTTAAACACATAATTTTATTAACATTAACAATTCCATGTTGTTACAAAAATATCTTAAAATAAAGTCAAGAAAAAATTAAAAGTAGAAATGGAAAAAAATATGAAAAATAAAATCTAAACCAAAAAAAGTGCAATGATGTATTAATGTTAAAATTTAATATAAAATGGTGACTGAACTTAATTCTTTCAGCAGACAAAACCATTTAGGCCATGTAAACAAAAATAAATCTAGTTTATTTCATGATTATAAATAAAATTTATGTTCTTGTTTCATAGATGCCTTTGACAAACATAAGAGAAAGTTGTTATATACCTAAACTGGTATGAGATAATTTATTTGAACCAGTTGTGTCATCTGAAATCTCCCACTCTAATAACTAGTCTTAAAGGGCAAACAAGTCCTGACTTTTAAGTAACCCTGTTACTTCATATCAATCTTTGAATTTGAAAGGTCCCAGTTTGAGAACCATTCTTAAATTTGTAATAAATTGCTGCTAAATATTGGCTTTTGATTTAGTGGTTTTAATTTTAATATTTCTGGATTTTTGACAGATTCAAGGTATATTACAAAGAAGAAAGCAATAGTTGAAATGAAAAAGAATATTTCATAATGATAATGATTCAATTGATCAATAAGATATAATAATTCTAAATAACTAATTATAAAACTTCAATATTAGGAGACAAAAATTAAAGGAAAAATAGAAAAATAAATACGAAATATTTACAAATTAGGACCACATACTGAATTGTAATGCAAGGACAAAAAATACTATAAGCCACATGCAAAAAATTTAAATATAAGATATCCAAACCAAAATATAAATATAATGAAGTCATCCAATTAGGAAGTAATTATTCTAGTAATGATAAGTTGGTTCAATATTTGAAAACCAATCAGGGTTTAAATATATCAATAAAATAAAGAAACAAATTATAGGATTTTCTTTTTATATGTAGAAAAAGAATTATCCAAACTTCAACATTTGCTACTCACTTGTTACTTATTCTAAATCTTTCATACAACTAAATTTAGAAACTTTCTTCTATAGGAAAAAAAATCTTTAAAAATCCATAGTTAAAATACAAAATTATAAATATTAAAAAACTTCCTCACTAATATCCTGTTATCAACACAGTTATTCAACATTTTATCTCCTAAGCATTATAATAATAAAAGAAAGGAAATAAAATGTATATGAAATGCATAGAAGAAATGAAACTGTCTCTTCATGGTCACTAAATCAAAAATTGTGTATATATAAATTATTGGAATTATTAAGTGAGTACTAACTCAGAGTTGGTAGAGTAGATGGGGGTGGAAGGCAGATGGGGTAAGGACACAGGTAATTTCACAGAGGAGGAAAAAGAAGAAAAAAGTTTAGTAAATAACCATTGTAAGTTGCAAAAGAAATTAAAAACCCAATTAAAATGTAATTATATATATGTAAACAAAACAAATTCTTATAAATAAGCAAAAGGAGATATTTTCTGTCAATTGTGTCTAAAATAGCAATAGCAATAATTAAAACAAAAACTTTCAAGTAGGAGAAATGATAAATAATGGTATGTTCTTATACTAGCATATTAATTAGAATTAAATGTATATATTTATAGATTTTTAACTTTTATATATTTTCAATTAAATATAGTCATAGCTGTTTTTAATTTGTCTTATTATTTTCAAGACTCCATGATATATATATATGTTTACATATGTAACATATATATTATACACACATGCACATTTATCAGTATTTCAGGGAAACATGAAAAAACTGAGTAAAATACAAATTAAAGAATGAGCTATGACATATGATACCATTTGACACAAATAGTACATGAAAGACATCAAAATATTAAATATTGTTACAGATCTATAAACAGCTAAGTGTTAAAACCTGGACAGTAAAGATACACACAAAAAGGCAAGGATAGGAGGTATTTTTTAATTAGGCAAATGTGAAATGACTGAAAGGAGATATAAAGGTATCTTTAATTATAAATTTCCCATATGAAAAAATCTGAAGTAAACATTACAAAATAATTTTCAAATGAAGCATCTGATCCAATGTTAGAGACGGAATTGTTTTCTCCCCAAAATTCATATGCTGAAGCCCTGGATTCAGAGAATATTCAGAGATAGGTTCTTGGGAAGGTAGGTAGATCTGGATGAAGTCACAAGGATGGGGCCCTCATGATGATATTAGTGCCTTTATAAAAAAAGAGAGCAGAAAACTTACTAGTTCTCTCCACTATAAGAGAATATGTTGGGAGGAAAGTGTCTGTCTGCAGTCCAGGAAGAGAACTCACTACAACCCTACTCTGTGGGCACCCTGATGAGCTTCTGTTGTTTGAGCCACTCAGTCTAAAGAAATCTTCATGGTAGTCAAAATTGACTAAGACAGTCATTTTATTATCCAAAATATAATTCTTGGTAGTTGAAAAATCACTCTCCTTTTTTAATACATAAATTGCTATGAATGCCAAGGTTGCATTGTCCAACGGTCCACAATAAAACAGAAAACTACAATAACTAGAAGTGATTTTTCAAGTTTAAAAAACTATAAAATTATCAGATATTATAAATTCCTTGAAGGCAGTAAATTCACAAAATTTCCCAGTGCCTAATGCAGTACCTCTCATACATCGGTGCTTATGTCTGTTTAGGATAAGGTAAAAGTATCAGGCTTTTCTGCCCTCACGCCATCAGGATAGATGATGGAACCCTGCGGTCCTGAATGCATGCCTGATGGCGGGCACCTGGAGTAGGGTGTGGGCATCTGTAGATGGGATTCACCTGGGCTGAGACTGGGCTTTTAAGGGTGGGTGGCATCATGGGGACGCCAGCAAAAGAGAAGAAGCAGAACAAACGGGAGTAGAAGCAGAGAAGCAGAAGCAGGAGAGCAGAGAAGCAGAGAGAATGCGGGAGAACGCTGGAAAGCCCAGAAAGAGTTAAGACTTGCTGGGGGCTGGGAGGCCTGCCAGACTCCCCCCCTCCTCCTTACCTGCCATGTACCCAGTAAATCCCAACAAAAGCCTGCAAAAGCCACTGAGGCCTCCAGGACTCTCTTCTCCTTTACCGGGTCTGCTGGATCAGAAAACCTGCTCAGTGCCCCTTCCTGCTCCTTACAGTCTGTTACATAGGAAGAGGACATATGTTGAATAGAAATGATACTACTTGAGCGAAACTCCACAAACTAATGTTCTTCTGAAATTCTATAACTGAGATGAGGCTACAACAAAAAAGTTTTATTCTCAGGGGTTTATTATCTGTAACAAACTTTCCAACTTTTCATGAAACTAACTATAAATAAGTAGCATGGATCTCTTGGTTTGATTTTTTTTTTTTTTTTTTTTTTTAGTCTCCTAATACCCAATTTATACAAGTTACAAAATCTGGTTTATAGGACTGTGATTAAGCCCTTTGCCTTGCACTTCTTAGAATCTCCCTAGTCCAAATCTTGCATCCTTTCATACAAAAATGGGGCAGGGGATAGCTTTACATTGCTGCCTCCTTTCGAGATAATTGTCCCAAAGAGAATCACTTCTGTTTTCTATCAGCCCCAAAAGATGCAGTTCAAGTTCTTTAGGGAAAGTCATCACATTTTGTTTATTATTCCATACTGGATAAAGTTCAGAAGATTTTTTTTTTGATTGATATACCAATAAGCTGTCACTATAAAAAACTACAACTAAATTATGGGCCCAGAGAGAATTTTTAGAAATCTAATTATCAGAGAATATCTTAAAAAGTGTGGCTCCAAGTTAAAATTGCATATATGGTTCTTTCTGCTTTTTTTTTTTTTAAACATCTTAGGTTAACAACTTTTCAAGCATGTTAATTCAAATAGGTCTCCTAAGTATTACCTCCTGTTGGAAGATTGTGGCTGTACAGTACAATGAGCAGCTGCCACGGAGCATTTGTTAATGCTTCCTTCCTTAAAGGTAGATTAGCATGGATTTTAATTTGGTTTAATCCCACCTGAGGCATGAAGGACTCCCAACTTGGGATAGTTGTTACAAAAATAGTTTGCTCTTATTTGCATAATATAGGACTAAAGTAACAATATCTACACTCTGCTATTAACCTGTTTTGCAGTGAAGGGTATTTACTTACAGTCTCATACATGTGGTATCTATTAAGTAACATCTCTAGAAATGGAAGCTTACTTGTTAAATGGAAACCAAAATGTCAAGAATAATTGGGGAAAGTAAAAGTAGAAAGCAAACTCTGACAGTCATGAAGCTTACTGAAGTTACTGAAAATGCGGATTACTTAGACATTAATGAAAAGAAATAATATTTGCAGTTTTTCTGGCTTGACTGGGACTACTTATGGCAAGATTTCAAAATCACTTCACACAACATGACACATTTACATTTTCCCAGTATAGTTAAGATCTCAATTATAATGCAATACAAATTGTTATTTAGTAATACTACAGCATATATGAAAGTGGTAGTAATTTACAAAACAGGAATATGGATTCCATGAGAGCTTCCTGAATTTTAAGAAGAGAAACATTAATATGGGAAAACCACCATCTACCATGGTTTGTTATTGTGGTTGAATTTATAGCTTGTATTTCAGCAGCCTTGAAATATTATTTGAGATGACCTAACATAAACATAATGCAACACATGTTAATTTAAAATGCTTTTCATTAAGGTTAAAATGGTAAACTAACCAGAGTTTTCTGCTGGCATCGCATGTGACTTCAGAACCAATGCTTGAAACATTCAACGATTCTTCTCCAAGACCATGCTACTCAGAATTTAAGAATTTTCTGTAGGAAATTGTTCTCCATGGTTCAACTGCCTTATTCACAGTGTGAAAGAATGACAGAACCTGATAAAACAACAAAAAATGCTGGTATGCATGACAAGTAAATTCTTTCAAGCTGTGTACCCCTTAGTCCTTAAGGTAGCAAAACGTACCACAAATTTCAAAACTGAAGCAAAGTTGGAGAACTGTATAGCATTTATGCATAGGTGGAAGAAACAACTTGGGGAAAAATTTACAACTTTGGATCTTTAATTCTTCAGCTCATCAATTTTCATTAATATAGCATAAAAATCATAACATAAGAAATATAGCAATTCTACTTTGTATGTAATCAAACTGATTTCAAACTAAGTTCCAATCCTGAAAAAACCTGATGGAAGATTTAGCCCAGTAATTTGGGATTACCAGGACACAGGATGGAACAAAGATTCCAGAGTTAAGAAACCTCTCTGGTCACATGTTGACAGCTGTTACTGCAGAGGCATCTGGAAACCTCTTGCTGTTAGGAGCCCTGTTCCTTACTGCTTCTTTTCAGGCATCTCTGAAAAAGTTGAGAATTTGGAAGCTACTCAACAAAGTTCCAGAGGTTTGTGTGGCCTGTGGATCTTTGTATGTCTTTGTATTTTTCTCCATATGCTTCTCAAAGGCATACCGTTTTTCCCTGCTCCGAACACACCCCAATGCTCCAACAATGTACCTTCACTGATGTTTTTCTGCCCTACTAAAACCATGAAGGAATGATAAATATCAGGCACCGACTTAAAAATGGATAGGAAAATTTGTATGGAGCACAAAAGCTATTTACTATTGAAACAAAATGTTGCTGTAAAAATGAATAGAATATGATGAAAAGCTTGCCAGCAAATCTTAGTTTTAGTACTATATCTGATTCTCACAGCACTTGATCTAGAGACTTCTCTTGAGGAATCTGCGCTACATGCAGACTTAATTTCATCCTGCACAATATCATGAGTTCTCTAATACCTTCTTTTAACTTGGTGTGGCCATGCCTGAAGAGTGTTCATTCACCTACCTATAGACAAACAGTATAGCAGAAAAAAATAGCTATCTATATAGGATTAATCCCAAACAATTCAGTCTGGAATTTCAATCTCTAAAAATATGGGCACACCATTCTCTTTTTATCTTATTTTCTTCTATCTCTTAAAAATAAACTCCAGTCATCTAGACAACCCTTATGTTTCCCTCTACACCATTTACAGATCCTTTTCTGTTTTTATAGAAATTATTTCTCTAGGGCATGATATTACTCTCTTTTCACATTTGTGGAAACCCCCAGCATTCTCTAAATCCAAATCAGGAGTTGCTTTCACCAAAAAAAAAAAAAAAAAAAAAAAAAAAAAAAAAAAAAATGATCTCTAACTTTCCAAAGAGATAGTGGCTTTTCCCTCTCCTGTCATGCCTGCTGCTCTCCTCAGCAGTGCATTTCTGTTGTCTGCCTGTTCTGCTCCCTGCTCTGTCTCTGGTGAATCCTCTCACCCTCCCACAACTCTGGCCTGTACCGCAGCTCTTATATAAAAAAAAATAAATATTTAAAACCACAACAACAACAAAAAACTTTCAGTTTTGCTTTCCTGTAATGATTATTTCCTTGAGTGCATACTCATTTTTAAGACTTTTTATTGCTCTTCTTGGATTTCTACATCTTATTTCTCTCTTCCACCTGAATAATTTGTGCATTACTATCTTCAAGTTCACTGACTTGATCCTTCATTTGGCCTATTCTGCATCCATACCTTCTCTGGAGCTCTTGGACTTATCTATTGAGATCTTTACACCCTGAATTTCTGTTATTGTCTCATTTAAAACTTTAAATTTTACCTTCCATTCATTAATTTTATTTCTGAACTCTTTAGTATGGTTCTCAAAGTTTTGTTGTATCTCTTTAATGTGTTTTTGAGTTCTCTTGTATCACTTTGACTTTTCTTTCTGTTTTCTACTGTCTCTGAATTCCTTTATTATAGCCATTTTGAACTTTCCATCTAATAGGTACATGTCATGTTCCATGTCTTTGTGACCAGTTCTAGAGAGTTCTTTCATTGTAATATCATATTCTTTTGATGTATCTAATTGCCTTGTGTCATGTTTTTGTCTAGCCACCTTGCTACTTTAAATTTATCTATTTTTAAAAATATCTATGGCAGTGGCATAGAGTTGAACTACTTTTACTTTTCTTGCAAGTCACATTGTGGTTTATTTTATATTTATTTCAACCTTTGCTGGCTTTCCTAGGTACTGAGAGCTATTATTGCAGTTGTTGTGTCAGCAGGGTAGAGAGGGCCTAGAGGAGTCCAGTCAATGTCAAGAATGTGCTCATGTTGGTGGAACCACCAATATCCCTTCTCTCTCGGATCCCATATATGAGACTCAGCAGTCTTTGCGCTGTCAGTGTGCTCCACATGGTCAGTGCGAACCTTGAGGGGCCGGGGTGTGGCAGTGCAGTCGAGTGCCTTTTCTGCTGTTTGCCATCTCAGGGACCTGACCTGTGTAGAGTACCCCAGTTTCTCCTCCATCAAGGGTTGTGCACCACACCCTTTCTAGTCTCCTTTCTCTGAGTTCCTTACAGAGCCGGCAGCCCTGCAGTGTTGGTCCCCTACCCTTGACCACAGTGTCCAGGCATTTCTCTCCACCCACCTATTTAATGAAATGTGAATCTCCCCCAGATCCCCTTTGGTGCAGTCTGTGTTGGTCTCAAGTAGAAGGCATGCTTCAGTCACACCTAAGTCGAAGGACACTCTAGGTATAATTTCCCTCTGGTCAACTGCTAGATGTTCCTCTTTAGGGCAAAATAAAGAGACTCTTCTATCACCATCTTGGTAATACCATCCACAACTTTTTCTTGTATTTTTAATTCACTCATATTATTAATAAAGTTTTACCTGTGTGTCAGTAGCCTTCCCAACTAGACTGAGCGTAGAGTGAGAGGGTATGTTTCTTCTCTAGACTCCCATGCAAAGCTCTGCATAGCCTGTGAAACTGTTTGTCCTGCCATTAAGATATCTGAGATGAACAGCCATACCTCAGCCTGGTGATTATGGAAGAGAGTTTAAGAGAAAAGAATATTTCCAATGTAAATTAACAGAAAATATGGGTAAGTGTCTAAGGTAGTCATTTGACACATTTATAACTTTCACTTATTACATTAATTTTTAAGTGTGCTCAATGTAAACAATATAAACAACTCCCATTATAAATAAAATCGCTAAATACATATCTTTTTTTTAACTTTTTTTTAAAAGATTTATTTATTTATTTATACAAGCACTGGGTACAGTCAGAAGCACGGAGAGTGAGAGAATTCACCAGAGCCAGAGCGGGGAGCAGAGCAGGCAGAAGGACCCAAGTACACTGCTGAGGGGAGCAGCGGGCAGCAGAAGAGGTCTGCACGCCATGTGGGACCCTCCTCCGGTGGCCGGGGAGCAGCCGGGGATCGAACCGGCACTGAAGAGGCTGCGGGCAGCTTCGCAATCCAGCACTCAACCGCTGCGCCACCGGGGAGGCCCATTAATTTTCAATAGCATTGGAAAAAGGGATTTAATTATACCCATAGGGAATAGCTTACCTCTAAAAAAAGAAAAAAATTCTCCAGCAACCAAAATCCAATCTAGAAAAATATTCTGCATGTATGGAAAAAAAAAATGGATCATCTGTGAATTACCACTCACCAAAGCATTAAAACTGAAAAATTCATACCTATGCTCTAAAATGGCACCATCACACATTGCTGCTCCAGAATAATTCATGCAGATATATCTGGCAACTGAATATGAAAGTGGGGGTGCTCAGCAACTGGCAGTTGGCCCAGTATTTAACCTTGTTATATTAGAATGTCATAATAGATGCACAATTTAATCTTTCCAAATCATCTGGTCAGTGACTGTGATCTCCACAGAAAATAACTTCAAAGAAGGCAGGCACCTTTTTTGCTGCTTGTTTATTAAGCAGTCTTGTGCATCAAAGTATTTAAGAATAGGAAGTAAAAACCTCAAAGTCGGTATTGCATTCTTGGGATTATATACCATGGAGATGTGTAGCTGGGCCTGTTAAATTTTCCTGGATGCAAGGATATGCTCAGATTGGTACTATTAAGATATACTGTCAACAGATAAAATGCATTACAAGTAGATAAATACTGCTTGTGGCAATCTACCAAATCAGAGATTTCTAAGGGGAACACAAATCAGTGTATTAAATAGCAATGTTCACTTGTAACCTGGAAAAATAAAATCCAAAACTTATTTAAGTTACTTTAGAACATCACCTCATTTAGTTTATGACATAGGTGTGAAATAAAGGTTGCTTTATTTGACCTTATGGCACTTAGAAATTGATAACAATTTTTTGTTTTGTTTTGAAGCTACCATTTGACAATTATGAAGAATATTATGCAAGTTATTTCAACAATTGTGCCCATCAAGTGTGGAGACAAATTCTGTGGAAAGGAACTATCTCCCTTGACCAAATATATTGCAGATTAGGGAAACCAAACTTCAAGTATTCTAGCATGAAGGACCCAGTTGCTATAGTCAAATAAATTTTATCATGGTTAGTGATATTGACATATCATTCATTATTAAGACCTTCTCACTCTGCCAAACACACATTTTTTTCCTCAATGCATTTATCTTATTTAGACACATAAATAAGTATAGCTTAAATAAAAATTACTTCTAATTTCAGTAACACAGGGTGATTTAGTTACTCTTATGTTATCACTAAGGACCAATAAAGGTCACATTATATATTTTATTAAGAACTCCTTAGTTATATTTCTGTCACACATTTTTTGCATATCCACTTCCTGATGTGCAAATATTTTTTTTTGGGTCTCCCTTATATTTTCTGGTGACAGTATTTAACTCTTTTACTAGGACCAATTCCTTATGTAACAATCCATCCACTTCTGAGATATTCAGGTACCTGATCTCCTTCTGTTTATACATTCAATTGTCAAGCCATATTTATTTTCTTTTCTGCCTAAACTGGACTCCTTGTTAGGCTTAATATCATCCTCAAATTCCATTATGTTTGTACTTTTTAGA